GACAATATTTACTTGCGAGTTGCATGAGAGTGTTGTTCACTTTGCAATTACAAGACAACAAAAAAAATGCAGATTATTGTTTGTTGTTGAATTTTTCCATTTATTTTTTCATTAAAAAATGTTATAGTAACATTTATTTTTATAGTGAAATTTAATTTTAATTCATTCACATTTCATTAATTTTTTTTTAATCCACACACATACACCCACACACACACACCATATGGGGTCTAAAGCTCAGGTACTTGACATATCTTTTCACATCCGTGCTTTTATTTGGAAAGCTGCTGCTCGACCCTCTTGACCTCTAAAGACAATTTCGCGCACACACACACACACTCGTAATTGTTTTGAAGAGGTTTCTAAATGGTGAGCGAGTGCAGGTTGTCTCTTGTTCGTTATTTCTGAAGGTCTTTGAAGTTGTTTACTGGCCTAGATTAAAAAAAAATGTAATATGTGCGCTGAATGTAATATAACAAAAACTAAATTAATGTGGCCATTTAAACGTCGAGTATTTTCGGATTTTATTTCTTAATTGAACCTATTGTGGTGGATAATGACCAATGACCTGACCAATCACGCGACGACTCACTCGTCACCTGACGACTCTTCCTCTTACCTTTTCCGATGACCAGGCCACACTTGTCTGCAGGTATAGTGTAGGTGACTTCCTGTAGGGGTCCTGGGGAGCCCATGGTCCAGTCGTTGCGACCTCTGACCCTGCCCCCCCGCAGGGCAGATCCAAAGCCATCACGCTCCTAGAAAAAAAAAAGAAAAAACACATTTAGTACGTTTAAATAAATTATACATGACCAGTGAGGATCAGGGGTCAGAGGTCAGGGTTGTGGTTGTTGGTGGGGGTTCTGGGGTTAAGAGTAGTCTGTAATACAGCCGGGGTTAGTTCGAGTAAAAAAAAAAACAACGAATGTCTGTCTGTGTGTGTGTGTGTGTGCGTGCGTGCGTTACCTGTGCAGTCTGCACAAGCTCATTAATGAGGTGGACGGCATGCTGGCAGCGGTCAGGCTGTCCCATCACCATGGCAACGCGCTCTGGACTGATGCCATCATCTTTAAGAGCAGCAGACAAAACGTAAGAGAGGTCGACAGGTCAACTACCTTTTATAAACAGTGGTGGGGGCGAGGGGGTGGTCTCTGTGTAAATTCACTTGAAATAAAACATAACGACAAAAAAAGTTCTATCCATCCACCTGTCTATCTATCTATCGACCTGTCTATCTGTCTACCCATCTATCTGTCTACCTGTCTATCGACCTGTCTGTCTATCTATCTGTCTACCTGTCTGTCTATCTATCTACCTGTCTATCTATCTGTCTACCCATCTATCTGTCTACCTGTCTGTCTATCTATCTACCTGTCTATCGACCTGTCTGTCTATCTACCCCGTCTGTCTGTCTATCTATCTACCCCTCTCTCTGTCTGTCTCTCTCTGTCTATCTGTCTGTCTACCTGTCTATCAACCTGTCTATCCAACTGTCTACCTGTCTGTCTATTGTCTCTCTGTCTATCGACCTGTCTGTCTATCTATCTACCCGTCTATCTGTCTACCCCGTCTGTCTGTCTCTCTCTCTCTCTCTCTCTCTCTCTCTCTTTCT